TCTTCTTGCTTTATGGCAGCTCGCAGACTTATAAGTGCATTACCGCCACCTATCTCTCAAATGGACCATTGACCCTCTATCTACAATCTCAATTAGGAGTGTCAATGGTCCATTTGAGAGATAGGTGGTGGTAATGCACTTTTAAGTCTGCGATCTGCCGTAAACAAGAAGAAGTAGATAAGTCAAGCAGGATTTATACTTTCGCCTAGCTCCGCTTCGTGAGCCTCCGCTGACTGCGCGCGCACCTTCCCAAACGGACAAGGCTTATACTTGTCGTGTTCACCGTTGTACTATTCTTTGAAATGACAGGGGGCGACGAGGAGTAATTGTCCTCTAAAACCATCGGGAATCACAGGTGAGAAGTCGTCATTTGCCGGTACAAGACTTCTCGCGTGATGAATGCGTTCTTGAATTAATAATTTCTTTATGTACAAACTTAAAACAATCTTACAGTTTTTCTCAAATGCTAAAACACATTTCACAAACGTTTCCTCCATGTTCCCCAGTGTCTAAACACAACACCCTTTTCTAAAGCTACATAAACACAACCACACCTTCTCACTTCAAAACTCAAACTTTCACACCAAAAGAGCAGCTCGAAGCTTTCAAAAATGTAAACACTATACACATCATTACACACTACAGCAAAACAATTGAAAACACAATGCTCAATTTGTGAGAAGGTTCTTTGTTTCATAACTGCCAATGCATATTTTTAGAAACTTTACAGTAATGGATGTTCTTAGATCTCTGCAGAGGATTAGGCATTTAGATTTGTGAGTTTCATATGAAGAGTATAAATCTATAGTAAATTCTGCATGTACACTACTGTAACACAACTCAATGCAAAAACAGAATCTATTGCACACAACAGTACTCTTGAAAACATGATCAGGGTGTGAAGTTTTTTTATTTACTTTATTCACACCACAATCACTGTGCAGCATCATGTCGCTGAGCTGCATCGGGCCACATCACCTCATCCACGTCGCAGGCTATATTGTCTCTTGCCAGGCACCGCGGGAAAAACGCCCTGGAATGGCGAATCCTTCCTTGGAAGGCCTCCACTGGGATATCAACACAGGCCAGCTCCATTGCCCTTAGGAGGTTCTCTCTAGTGTATGGTTGTCTGTGTTTGTTTTATTGTACTTTATTGTAGATTTCAATCTCAATACATATCTTTAAAAGTTTGTTTCTCCACTTCAGCCGCACTTACATATACCAAACGTAACAGTTTTATTCCTGTCTATATTCTGAAGGTTTTGCTGATGGGTTTGTTCATATATCATCCCTTGTTTTTATTATTGCACTGTATATATTTACTCATGTAGATTTCAGTCTGATTTCTTATGAGTTTATATCTCTACTTCAGCAACACTTACACTAAACTTTATTTTCTCTATATTCTGAAGGTTTTTACTGAGGGATTTGTTCATATATCATTTTTTTCTGGCTGTTTACAGTATTATCTGATTTATGGAGTGATTAAAAGAAAAACCCAAAATTCCCTCTGTAAAAACCTTTAGCTCTAACATGATAACAAAATCAAACAAGAATTTTGAACATGGTTTTATCTAGTTTTCAGATAAATATATGCAAATTTGCCTTTGACTAGATAACGCCCCATTTGGATATTTAACCTGTAAAACATTTTACTTGCCTTAAAGAATGACTTTTTTGAGGTTAAAAAAAGCTTAAAATAATAAACTTCATGCCAAAATTTTAAAAATTTTGTTCAACAGCCAGATTTTTACACTTTTTTTCATTCAATAAACTATACACAGTAACAGTAATTATTGAAAATACGGTTTCATGTGAAGTTTCACTGGCTCAGACACATTTACTGTCACTCGTGTGCTCCACCAAACATCAGCAGATGATTGAGAGCCAGTAACACTGGCAGACTGTTTATTTATTTGCTTATTAGTGTGTGTGTGTGTGTGTGTGTGTGTGAGAGAGAGAGAGATAGAGGGAGAAAGAGAGATAGGGCTCAGGTTATAATCCCTAAACCTTCACTGACCGCAATCCTGATATGGCTAAATGACTGGCCTTCCCTCATAATCCCAGATGGTAGGTAACGCACACCTGAGGCCCTCATACCTTCACACACAAAAATCTGAAGAGAGGGACAGGGAAGCTATGGAGAAACAGACAGTCCTGATCCCACTGACAGATACCTTCAGTAAAGGTTTGGGAGGTTCATCAGGAGGATCCGTCAGTGTGTTTCTGCAGAGAGACACATTAGTGACTCATGGTTTATCTGGAGTGAGTGTGTGTCCTTTAGAGCGGTCACTGGAAAGAACAAATGCTCCAATCAGATTACAGCGCTTCACCTGTCCTCCTGCAGCTCCAAAAACTCAAATTTCACACATTTAGTTATTTTAATAGTGCTTTATACAATACAGATAGTTTCAAAGCAGCTTCACAGAAATAAAAAGCAAATAACAGTGTAGCAAAATTAATCAACTAAGAAACAAATTCAAATTCTGCTGTAAAGTGGCTCTACAGAAAACAGTGTCATTATTCAGAGCAATTCATTTCAAAGCTCATTCAATTCAGTTCACGATTATTAGCTATCTATAACTATTCAAAACAATTCATCAAGTTAATTGATGTATACCTGAATACCTGAAACTAAAACTACAACTGAAATAAACAAAATGGTAATATTTAAAAATAAAAACAAAATCGTGAAATTAATAAAAATATAACTAAAATTAAAACAAAAACCTGAAAATCTAGAAATAAAAGCTGATTCATAATATAAATAAATATATATTAGTTATTTTATAAATAAAAATAAAACTGTAAAACAAATGCATTATTAAAATAGCAATATTAAAGAAAAGATACAAGCGCATGAAATTACAAAAAATCGAACTGAAATTAAAATGAAAACTGAAAATATATAAATAAAAGCTAATGCACAATATTAAAACAAACCGAAAAAAAATTGTAAAATAAAATAAAAAACTGAAAAAAGGTGAATTCAAAAGATAAATAACTATAATTATTCAGCTCAATGTTCATTCAATTCAGGTTAAAAAAAATCTCTCTGAAGAGCCGTTTTCTGACCACTAACTCTTCTGTTGTCCTTCTCAGGTACAGCATCGTGTCTCCTGATGAGGAGGGTCTGAAGATCTCCACCCTCGGCCTCCACAACGGCCACGGCTCAGGACGGCTTCACTCCCCCGGTGGAGAGGCGGGCCCAAGCACGGCATCGACGGTGATGAGGACCGGCTACAACGGGAAGATCTCCACGTCCGGCCACGGCCAGCTGCGAAGCCGCTTCGTCAAGAAGAATGGCCAGTGCAATGTGGTCTTCACCAACATGGCCGACAAGCCGCGGCGGTACCTGGCGGACATCTTCACGACGTGCGTGGACATCCGCTGGCGGTACCTGCTGATGATATTCTGCTCCACCTTCTTGTTCTCCTGGCTCGTGTTTGGCTTGATCTTCTACAGCGTGTCTTTAGCGCACGGGGACTTCGATAAAGATCGCGAGAGCAGCAGAAAGCCGTGGAAACCGTGTTTGCTGCACGTCGAGGGTTTCGTCGGCGCGTTCCTGTTCTCAATCGAGACCCAAACTACGATTGGTTACGGCTGGCGCTGCGTGACCGAAGAGTGTCCCATAGCGATCGTAACTGTGGTGGTGCAATCGATCGTTGGATGCATCATTGACTCTTTCATGATTGGCACCATCATGGCCAAAATGGCGCGTCCGAAGAAGCGAAACCAAACCTTGCTGTTTTCGCATAATGCGGTGATTGCGTTGCGCGACGGGAAGCTGTGTTTAATGTGGCGTGTTGGGAACCTTCGGCGAAGCCACATCGTTGAAGCCCACGTTCGCGCTCAGCTCATCCGACCCTACGTGACGGCGGAGGGCGAGTTCATCCCGCTGGAACATATGGATTTGAACGTGGGCTATGACGAAGGTACAGACCGCCTCTTCCTGGTGTCGCCACTAGTAATCGTACACGAAATCGACGAGGACTCGCCGCTTTGGGGAATGAGTCGGGTAGATCTCGAATCGGACGATTTCGAGATCGTAGTGATCCTGGAGGGAATGGTGGAGGCGACAGCAATGACCACGCAAGCGCGTAGTTCGTACCTTTCCCGCGAGATCATATGGGGTCACCGCTTCGAGCCAGTCATCTTCGAGGACCGCGATCGCTACCAGTGATTGCGTTGCGCG